CGCGTGAAAAGCACTGTTCACTTCAGTGGTATATACTAATGTAGGATACCAGGAACAAACTATAGACCGATTTGCTTCTTGGGAAGTTGCGTTCGTGAAAGCAAAGATTCGATTTGAACTCATTCGTTTAAGTTTATTTCAGACATTTAGCTTTTTTGTTTACAGCTTAGTTTAGCTTACTCCCATTCCCATAGACACTCTCACTCTCATAGACTAAAACTCATTTCCAATTACCTCTTATGATAAAAGTAAAGAATAACCTAACGAATAAAAATGTTTCCATGGGGATTAACCACATTTTTTACGTGGTACAAACCATTTTTCCCACAGGGGTCGTGCGTGGGCCAGTTGCCGGTTTGGGTTGAACTCTCCCAGTAGTAATAGGTCCTCAACTCGGTTGTACTCTTAGAATAGTACAGATGAGGACCATAATTGGCGGATGATTCTTTGGTAAGCACTCGTATCTCGTCAGGAGCAACGTTTGGGCAGACAGAGGCGACATTTTTTATTACTTTACAGCTCAGGCTGCCGGCTTTGTAATCTACCAAGCTTCCGTTGACTTCTTTACAAGCGATCCAGTGGTTGATGTTGGACTTGACCATGAACTCATTGCCTATTTGTCTCCAGAATTTAAAGTCCATGGCACCCAATTGCGTCTCTTTCAAGGGCACCTTTTTCGATATCGGAATGTCCCCAACAGCTGGCCAGGAGGGACGTGGTGTGACTGCATTACTACCGTCCACAAAGTTTCTAGCGAAAACAAACAGCTGACAAATTAAAAACACACAAGACGAAATAAAACAACACAGACTAAAATGAAGCCGGAAAAGCTATAGTAGTTATTGTCTCCAAATAATCTAGCCTTACGATGATCAATTCCTTGTTCCGATTTCAAATTTTTTTTTTCGGTTATGGATAATAGTTAAGCTCAGTTCCGGAAAACACTGGCTTTGTTGTATTGATTTTAATGTATTAACATCTTTCGAGCACTTCAATTTCTATCTTTTTCAGTGTATTTGTGGATAAATACAGTAAACGCATTACAAGAAGCACTCAATTTGTTCAGAACTACGATTACAAGGTTGTTGATATGCCAATTATTTTTGTCAGGGGCTATCACCAACAGCTACTCTGTTCTTTTCTTTAAATTTCCTTCCAAAAATTTCTCTTATCTCAGCTGTTTTGCTATTGCGCTCGTAACATCTGGTACTAGTACAAGGAAATATCACCATATTACTCCAGCCTTAGCACAACTTCATTGGTTGCCTGTCATATATCGAATCGTGTTTAAGCACTTTCATTTAAGAAAAAACTCAAGACCTGTCTTTTTACTAAATTTATTAAGAGTAACCCTTTATTATACTATTAATTTTTAGCCTCTCGTTTCTACTGAGGTATATTGCTAGTTTTTATTTTCTAAGTTTTTTTTTTTAGGGTAAATTTTATGGTTTTAGGATAAATTTTGTAAAGTGCCTCGAACAAGTAGTGGATGTGTGCGCTATATAAATGAACTATCACTATTATTATTATTATCATTATTATTATTATTATTATTATTATTAAAATTTTTATTATTAAATGCTATTTTCCCAAGAGAAGAATAGCTATTGTGGTCCTGAAGCCCTATATAGTTGAAAAAAGGATGAAAGAATGAGTACATGAGAGCTTCTTCATTCGTCCAATTCCACTTACGGATAATTTGTAAAGGTGTAACTGTACACTAATGTCCATCCTCCTCCATCAGTTTCTTGGTCACAGTAAGCACGGAATGCTTTTCCGCCAGATGGGTTTATCCAGTACAGTCCTGTCCCTCCTTGAGAATTTAGCTCTTTAATAACCTTACACGACTTGCCAGGATGATCCTTGTCTTCTCCAGTTTTCACTGGTGGAGCTGTGATAGGAACTAAAACACAATATTATGGTTTCCTCAGTTGGCGCTACATGAACTGTGTTCCGTTAGGAAATTCACCTCAAGTTTCCGTAGATTTGGACTATTTCTTCTCCTAGCAATGATTTTGCGCCAAGAGAACACGAGAGGCTTGTCATCTCTTGGCTTATGGCTGTAAGAGTCTTTGATTTAGATGGAATAAGGGCTACGTCAGAAGTCAACAACAGAAAACCTCATTACTCAATATTGGTTATTTAAATCCTATTAGGATTTTCTACAACGGAGGGTATCCATGAATGTCTAAAGTGAGTTAAACTCACAGCAAAAAAAACCTGAATAAGGAAATCAGAATGCAGCTCATTCCAGTTGCAGAGCTTGTTCGCATGAACTACACCTTTAGATAATGAACTAGAACTTGTGGTAAGAAGAGAGAAAGAAAGAAAGAATGAATGAAAGAAAGAATGAATGAAAGAAAGAAAGAAAGAAAGAAAGAAAGAAAGAAAGAAAGAAAGAAATAAATAAATAAAGAAAAAAGAATATAAATATAGGAGGAAGAATCAATAAGGTAGCTGAGGGGGAAGGCTCGAAAAAGCATAAGACCGGAACGAGCGTAAGTCAGAGGTCAGACATCTCATTAAACATGGCGCTTGTCGCACTTGCAAAGCGTGATACAGTCAACAAAGACTTAAGAAGATATTTAATGCACGGGTTATTTACTAAAAAACATACCTTTGGTGGGCGTCTCTCTTCCTAATTCAACAGGGAAGAAAAAGAAAATAAGACGTAATGTTTGTTTTCCGATACTTGAGAACGATTTAGAAAGTCAACAAAGTCAACTAGTAGTTGTAAGACAATCGAATCCTTGTGAACTCCTTGTGGAATGTCCAGTACATGCTGATGTTTCCAAATAATTGAATTTACGGGAAAGTTACGTTTTACAGTTGATCAAATAATCAATTTATACCAGTCCTCCACTTCAGCAGGCGAGGCTTTATCCATTTTCTTTGATGAAAAAAGAGGAGAGTTGAAGGGGTTATCAGAAAGATTAAAGATTTCTTACTCTTACTGCCGCAGTAGCGATAACTCCCAGATGGCGCCGCGGGTAACTGATAAATAAGGAAATCTTTTGGACATCTCTTAACCTTGACAAACACCTTTTTAGCACAACAGTTGTTGCCTTCCTGGAAACAAACTTTCTTTTTGACAGTCTTTCCAATTTTCTTGGGATTAACACCAAGCATGAATCCGGGATAC